GTTTCTCACCTGTCGCAGATAGTCATTATACCGTTACTAGAAAATTTCTGTGGTTTTTTTATTAAATTTCGACACAGTGTTCGGCACGAACTCATGGGACAACCTAATATTTGTACACAACTTCTGCTAACATAAATATAGAACCCTAAATAAATGACTTTAATCCGCAATCAATAAACTGCAAAGACTAAAGTCGCTAACAAGTATCACTAACGAGGTAACTACTTTTGCGATAAACTTGCATAAAAGAAAAAAGTAATTACGTCAAAGTAAAAATCTGTGGAATAGTAAAGCGATTTCGATTCGACGATAAGTGAAAAGAAAGAGTACTGGAAAAGAGGTTGGTAACCCTGGACGAGCCAGTGAGTTTCGAGATGGTATCGCGAGCGTTGCATCTAGCACGATCGTCAGCTTCGAGGAAATAATTCAATCGTGCCACGAGTCCGGTGATAACGCCTAATTGGCGTCCCCCTAACGAAGCCTGGGACACACCGCGCTCGCGTGTTCCCCTTATCAACGCGTTGAAACGGTACCCTCGACTTTACATTTTCGCTCTAGCGAATGGAGAGTGATCGATGGAGGATAGGAGAGAATCAAAGATACTCTCGCTGCGAGCTGTCGTTAATCAAGTTCCATTTACAAGTGAGGTTACAAAAGTCATCCTTTAATAATTAATTAAAACCGTTACATTTCTCGCAAAGTATTAGATGGACTGGAAAGTAATGTCGTTTCTGCGAATCTCAATATTTGTTGATCATTCGTCAGTTCATTTACTTTTAACGATCTGGCATTGAAAGTTTGCACACTATATGGCAACAGGCTGTTGATAACGAGGGTGATTACATAATTCATTAAAAATCGAAACTTATTAAGAATGTGTAAGCGACTGTATAGGGACTGTATGTATGTTGGGTAATATGTGTGGTGGGAGAGCCTCGTGCTCTCTCATAAATAGGAACAGCGAGAGAGAGAGAGAGAGAGAGAGAGAGAGAGAGAGAGAGAGAGAAAGAAAGAAAGAAAGAAAGGTTTCGGAAGGTTTGCGATTAGCATTAACAGGAGTTTAACCGTTTGACTGCTAAGCAATTCTTGCAAGAACGCACGAAAACTGCGGGACATATTTTGACTCGATGTCAAAGACACGCTGAAACTCGCAGCGCGAACGGTTAAAAACGACAAATTGAGTGTATGAAATTTCTGAACCCTTGGAGTCGAGGAAGGGGACTAATGCGATTCGAAAGGACGAGGAGGGAGCTCCGCTTTAGGTCAACGGGTGAAGTAGGTGCGAGGTAGGTTAAAGTAGGTAAATAGCCTGGCGGTGACCCGTCACCTGCGTTCTCGTTCTATCGAGAGCAACGTCTCTCAGTGGGAGGGACACAGCGGAATGAAGATAGTGCTCCCCCCACTGCCGTTCCAGGCGTACCATCGTACGCGCGTTCCATCGGTCGTGGGCTGTTCTTGTTCCGACAGGAACTGTCTCCGTCGTTGCTCGGGACCGATCTGATAAACTTTTCGCCTATTATTGTGACCTGGCATGCAAATCCTTCCCGCGTTAACCCGGTAACCGGTCCGATGAATCAGCCGGCTTTTGTTCGTAGGAAACGATTCCCAACCTCTGCCCCGACGAAGCCAACGCTCGTGAATACGGTTCTGTTCCAGTTGCGCCTCTCCGGTTCGTCTCGTGTCGCAGGCGTGACGTAAACCTCGACAAAGGGGATCGCTCAGCTATATCGGTCGAACCATCTACGATTTATTAGGTTGTCCAGAAAGTTCGTGCCAATTTTTAAGAAAACTACAAACGCACATTTGAATCGAGATATACATTTATTTATATGTACATTTATTGAATTACATGGGCACCATTTTGTTCCACAACCTTTCCACCTTTCAAGGGATGTACATATACAGGGTGTTCAAAAATGTTGGAAGTCGTTGAAAGGGGTGGTTCGGGAGGTGATTTGAAACAACTTTTTCCTTAGCGAAAATGTTGTCCGAGGCTTCGTCGAGGAGATATTAACGGAAAACACTGACCAATCAGAGCGCGAGGATGCCGATGGAGCGCTCGCGATAGCGTATGAGCGCGGCCGCCTAGCGCGTAGCCACGCCTACCGCGGGCGCTCCACCGGCATCCTCGCGCTCTGATTGGTCAATGTTTTCTCCTAATATCTCCTCAACGAAGCCTCGGACAACATTTTCGCTAAGGAAAAAGTTGTTTCAAATCACCTCCCGAACCACCTCTTCCAAGGTGTTACAACATTTTTCGGACATCCTGTATATGTTATTTGTTTTCAGCCATTTCGACACATTCAGACCTGCACTACCTATCAAAAATCGGCATGGACTTTCCGGACAACCCAAATATCTCTCGAATCTCTCAACTTTCAATCTACACTTCGCAGACGATTTCTAAATAATGCCAGCCTCGTCACGGCTGCTCCTATATTAATAGTCTTCCAGCGAAAAACGTCTGTTTTCGTGGCGTTCGAGTCGAAGACCTCCTCGATTAAGAGCGCCACGATTCTTCCAAACCACTCGTTTTTACGAAACCGTTCGGCTTCTTGCGCGTCTCCTCGATACACCGTTTTGCACCATCGACTAGGCTGACCGTCGTCGTAAAACCGTCGTAAAGCCGACGAAACGATTTCGTTAACTGTCAGCCGGGGCTGGATCGACGTGCGGAGCGAACGTCTAGGTCGCTCGATACGACCACGGCGATTGTAACCAGTATTGCAGGCAGGTAGGTTAACAGATTAATAGTTTGTGTATCTAGAAGGCGGCTTAACAACGAAACCAGGCCAGCATCGCCTGGCATAAAGTTCGTCGATACCGCTACGCTCCCGATCGAAGAAAAAACGAAGAAAAGGAGAGGAACGGAGATGAATTTCCGCCGAGATAATAAACAGGTGACTAATACAAAGAGCCTAGCCGCGATAAAGAGCCGTTCGCTGTCTCCCAATAAATCATTCAACCCTCGACGCATCTGGCTGGGAAGTCCCGATGGAAACCCTCTTACGCGATAAGGAGAATACGCGAGTCCTTTCCCAAACTGGATAAAATATTTTTACGAAATAAAGATGACGATTCCAGTGTGCTCTGAATTTAATCAACTTTTCTTTGGCTCATAGTATATTTATTCCGTGACTTAACAGACTTTACTCTGGGACCAGCTTTTTACGAGATCGTATCACGAAACTATAAAACGGAGCAAGATCTATTCTAAATCCTGTTCCAAGCATCGCTAATTGGAACACACGTGGCGATTTTCTATTACCAAGGATTTTCGAGCACGTCGGTTTGAAGGCGAACATTGTAACGCCAGATGTTATTGTCATAAATATCGAGACTGAATTCTTTTAGAGACGCTCGATGATGGTATCAGCAATCATACGGAGAATTCTATTTCTGCCGAGCATTGGTTCAGACTTCTGAAGAAAAACGAGAAACAAGATGGAGCTCGAAAGCGACCTTCCCCCAGTGTTGGAGCGAACGAGCCTTAACGACTTCTACTTTACACCTCCCGAGGCCTGAGAGAATACTCCGATAAATTAGAACTTGAATTCGCGTAGAACTAGACTTAGATACGTCTTAGGTCAGGGACAGAACAACAGATCGATCGAATCGTACACTGTACTCAACCGTGCAAGGTCTTACCACTGGTAATGGAATCCAGTACCTTGCAAATTAGTTCGAACTGCAATCACACATCGTAGATGTTTATCCAAATAAAACGTCCAACAAATCTGGCCCCAAAAACTACAAATTTACGAATAATCTTTTGCTCAACCCTTTATTTACTGGCGGGAGTTTTCCAAAAACTATCGTGACTTTCGAATCCACTTCTACGAAGTTCGTTTTTAATTGTCGGATAGCAAGATTTAAAAAATGTTTGAAAAATTCCGTAAACAAAGGGTGAACACAGGTTGACTGTCAGATAAATATTCTGAAAAATTTCTGCCACGATTTCATATTATTTAGACCATCGGAGATCACAGAATCAAACATCTATCGAGATATTTATTTTCGTATGTTCATAAAAATTCACGAGTTTCGCGTAAATTTCCTTTGACGTTTGAGTTTCATTTATTAATTCTACAGTGAGAAGTACTGTCGCCCATATATGGGTGACATGGCGCTCAACTTGTTGATCGACATCAGAATTCTCCAAAGTCCGCGTCGAATCCACTGTTTCGCTTTCCAGCGAACGAGCGTTCGGATGCGTTGGTCTGTTATCCGCGAATATAAATAAAATGTCGATAGAGGGAGTCGCGCAAGGCGGTCGGCTAGGAGTCGAACGAGACCAGACCTCGAAGTCGAAGATGAGATACACGCGTGGTGCTAGCAGCCCAATCGATAGAAAACGGTGGGCGCGTTCACGTGTAACGAGGAAGTGTTCTCGCAAACAGTTACAAGTGGAGTAGGTTACGCAGATAAGTCGTCACACATACGCCTGTATGTAATTCTCTGCCGAGTGGGCATGTGGGCTCTCAATACGTCGCACGACCGACATTACAGGTGTAATGGACGACAGCCGGTTACAACCCCCGATGTAGCATTTAATTAAAAAGTTGAATTGGAGAGGAATTGGAGAGGATTGTAAGACTCGTAAAATTATCGATATTCGAATCGAATTCAATCTTTGGACGAAATTACGGTAAAACCGAATTTTTGTCTACGCTTTGACGTAATAGAAATATTCGTACTCTTTACGTCCATGAAAGAAATTTGTCTAAATTACAGGTTTGATATTTCCAAATAAATGATTCATTATAAATATGTAAAATAGATATTGGTCTTTTGTTCGTACGAAATTTATTTGGAAACATCGAATCTATAAATTAATTTAGATATAAATGATACAAATGCTTGTGAGACCGACTGTAACTGAAACTCGAACGTATAGTATTTTACACTTCCAAAATGAAAAAAACAGAAAAAAAAAAAACAGAAAAAATGCATAAAGAGCTTAGAAACGTAATAGACGGACGTAATATTGCGTTCGTCCGTTGTAATTTCGTTGTCTCCCAGTCGTCGCTCGAGTCGAGAGGTTAGTGGCGACTGAGAGTCGTCCACGAGCGCGAAGGGTTAAGAGCGCTCGTGTTCGCGTATCCTAGATGAAAACGTTCGGCGTCGTTATCTGAATTGGACGGTGACCTATGCTCGACAGAGGTGTACTGAAAGGCAGCGAGCGAAACGAGGCTTTGGATATCAAACTGGCCAGCGCCTGTTGATATTAGCATTTATTTATATCTCCTGACCTCAAATATGTGTAACGTGGCTCCCCTCCACCTCGTGACAGGCTTGGCTGTACACGCACGCCTCCGTTTTCGAGGTTACGGTGCGAGCTGATATCGAGTTCCATCAAATTCTGTCCGAAGGCGTAACACTGGTGGCTTCTTCGCGATAACGTTCGCTCGTTTTCGAGTGAAACCTCCACGAGCATCCACACGTGCTGGATATACGCACACGATCGACATCCTGAACGATGAGGGATCGATAGGAGTGGGTATCGATGATGTACGTACACACGACGCCTGGCTACTTAATAGGGAGAAAGGTAAGCGTAGAAAGGTAAGTACTTGGTATCAATTATTAGATGGGAATGTTTCTTCGAGGGATAGGTGGTCGATAGAAATAATATAACGACGTTATATAACGAGAGGTAGTTAACAATGGAGGCGGAAGCGATAGATACTGGTGGTACTCAAGGAACTCGATAAGGAAGTACTTGGTGAGTAGTACATCGATATACTTGGTATCAACTTTCGATATTGATAGCGTTTTAGCGAACCTGTACAGAATATTCGATCGATACCGTCACTGTATGATACACAGTAGATACCAGTCGAAGCGACGCGACGCATATCGACGATATTCGACCAATTGAATACTAAAATACTCGACGGAGAGACTTCTGTAACGACGAATACCAAACTCGGTACCAAATACAAGCGCGATACCCTCATCGTCTCGCGGACCAAGCCAACAATTTACATAATTTACGATGGAACCACGATTCATAGCGCAACCATAATTCGTACCACTAGCGATGCTATAATTTACGGTCTGCTATCGACAGAATTGAATCGATAACGTCCCCATCCCAGCTAGACACCCCAGGAACACTCGACGCTTCCAACGTTTCCACCCAAGGACATCATCGCATCGGAAATGTTATCTCGCGCTCGATACGGGTCCCCATCGGTCGATACACTCGCGACGAAAGCCTAACACGATGCTTAATTATTTTTTATTCGCCACCAGCTCGATCGGGAAAACGGAATAGTCTCCTTAAATTCGCACGCGCGGGACTGAACTTGCGCGATTTCCGTAGAGAGCTTTGAACGTAGAAAAAGAAGGACAGCGAATAAAGAAGAGGACGGAGCTAAAACACCAGGGTACGTCGGTGAGTTTCATCGTTGCATTAGTATTGTCTCGCCGAGATATCCCGGATCATGTTACACTACTCGATGGTTTCCGTGCATTTATCGTAGAGAAATTTGTGCATTTAAGGAGACATCACTGTACTCGAACACGACGAACTCATCTCGTACCTTATCTTCTCGTTAGGTACGACCAGACGAGACGTACCGTGTGTACAATGAAGTATTCATAGGCGGCTAATGTGGAACAGAAGGAAAGCCAGAACGGCGAAACAGCCAAGGATAAGTGGAATAGCCGCGGTTGCTCCGAAACAGATACGGAGATAAACCTTCACCAGTCGCGCTGGCCACGATACGAGCAGCGGCGAATGCTTGGCAACCGCCGTTCATGAAATCGCTCTATTGTCCTGCTGTGTTGGCCGGAGTCGTTGCGGAAACCGCCGGGGAAAATGTGCTCCATTTTTTCGAAAATTCATAAAGCAATAAAGTCTTGAGTTTCTGTGACTTCTTCGTGGGAAAATTGTACGTAGCT